ATGATGATGATGATGATGATGATGATGATGATGATGATGATGATGATCAATTGTTTGTCTACTACTTTAGCTACAAGATACGCGAAAACAGCAGGTTTTGGATTGCTACCTGGAGTTGAAGCCCTACTCTCTGACAAAAAAACAATGGCAAACACACAGCAGCACTTGAGCCTTAAACGCCAACAAATCCTTGGCAGGTGAACATTTTTTGGTAGACTACTAGTGTAAAATCTTGATTAGGATCCAAATGGTGGGGGTTATTCATCAAGATTCTACCTGAATCTTATCCTTCCTTTCAGGCCCACGCTTCTAAGAACTAAGAACCTAGTCGTTGCCATTTGCAGAACTTCCTCCAACGACAGGTGCCCTGGAAAAGAGTTCCGCCTGTGCCTTTGGCCATGGCATTCTGGTAGCTCACACCAAGTGCCTCTGCATCCATGATGGCCTACACGACTCCGGCTCCGCCGCGAGGAAAGAAGACGCCCATTCGCGGGAACTGTGCCAAAAGTGGGTACATATCTGGGTACATATACTTGGCCACCTAGGAAACACCATCAATATCTTGGTTTTCTCGCGTCGTCGCTAGAGTTTTGGGAGCCCGCGTGGAGCCGGAGCTGCTGACCAATGGTCATACTAAGATATATGATGATATATGCTAAGCGCAAGCTCACACAGCCAGTTGTTCTGTGGATTGTTCCGAGAGGGAGTGCAGGGTATATATCTGTCAAAAACCAACAGACTGGCTGTGTAGGCGGATCTGGCCTGGTCGACACATGTCCATTGGGTAGGGGGCAGGTGTCCTTGCAAACCTCTTCCCCAACAAATCCGTGGAATCGAATTGAACTCAGGTAGTTTAAAAAAGCACACCTGCCTATGAAAGGGAGTTGCATTGCATGAGAGAGGGGCCGTGGAGGCCCACAGAGAGTCAACTCTTCTAAAGAGGGCTTTCGAAAGAACAATGAGACATGAAACACAAAATTATCGTGGCAATCGAAGCGCCAATCGTTCAGGGGCATCGATGTGTCCAGCCATTTCTTTTCTGATTTGACTAATCAGGTCGTCGCAGAAATCCAGGACCAACCCAGCGCTAAATATGAAAAACTCACTGGTGCTTAGTAGAGAATGCGGGAATAAGCTTCCAAGAGAGCTTCTTTGGGATCCATTCCTTCATTCCGTACTTTAAAAAAAACGATGTGAAATGTTTGGGTCCAAATCCATTGGAGCAAATGCGACCCCAATGTTCACAAGTGTGTACACTCCGACTCACTAACATGGAAGCGGATGGCATTGCCCTTTGGATGACTATTCTCCTCTAGAAACAGGTGGTTTTCCATTTCCATGATTGTGAGTCAGCGTGTATGTATTCTCACAAGTTCTCAGGTGGGTGTGTGTGTGTGCCTTGCATACCGTTTTTCTTTTTGGGGCGTGACACTTGCGCCACCCTCTCGGAGAGAGCTTGGAAACACTTGGGCGCTCTTGGAATCTCATTCTTGCTCACTGCCTGGCCTGGGTGGCCCCTTGGCTGCCATAGGGCAGCAAGGGATGGGCGGCGTCGCCCAGCAAGGTCACAGAGCCGAAGTCAAAGGACTCCAAGGGATCCCGGTCAAACCTGGGTGCCATCCCGGTAGCCAGTCCACAGAGTCGACCCAAAAATAGGCGGTGTTCTTCTTGAACATAACGTGAAAAATATGGAGTTCTTGGTTTGAACGGCTTTCATATTGAACTTTCTTCATCATGTGCAGGTGGATGATGATTGGGCCTGGGCAAGCAGGCCGACATCTCAAACATAGTGATCATCTTCTACTGACTGTTACTGGTAATGGGCCACATATTCACATATATATATATGCAAATTTTAAAACATATAACTTAACAAAACTATAAGTATATATGTATATATACACGTGTGCGTGTGTGTGCGCCAAGCCCTGCTTCAAAGGGGATTCTAGCAGACTGTGTTCTTTGCCTCCTTCTTTAATTAGTTTCCTCTTCAGCTGTAACTCTAGCTAGGATGTGAGTTTTAACGTCTACAGCTTTAGCAGCAGGGGGCCACTCCACCAACCACCAGGGAGTGGCCAACGAAGAGCCTGGTGGTGTGGTGCTGACAACGTACCTGCTTTAGCCGCTCCTGGGCGCGTTCGAGACACAACTGGAGGACATCGTTTCACTCGTACCTATTTTTCTTTAACTGTTGACCAAGTTGTAACTCTAATCATCCCGTAAAGTGCTAATGAGTTTGTTCAACATTTTTGTTCCTCTGACCCATCGAGCAGTCACAACTGACGTTTGCTCTTGCGAGCCATCTAAGTGGGTGAATCCATAATGCCACACGGCGAACAGGATGGGATGCTCCAATCTCACCCATCCGATCCTTTTTGGTTGGGGTAGTAAGGCAGAACTCTTCTCCAATGGCTGGTGAAAGTGTTGAGGTGAAGAACGCTTAAGTCAGTGGTCTATATACATGTGGAATATGTGGATCCTGGATCAGCTCCTGATCAGGTATCCATGTTGAATCCTTTTGGTTGCTGTAAGTAAGTTTGCGATCCATTTGCGATTTGGAGGTTGTGAACATTCATCCCACACCAAGCGGCCTCAAATTGAGCAGTGTCAATCTGGGTTCCACGATCTTTCTCAGGACCCGGGGTAGACTAGGAACAAGCTCCATCCGATGATCTTCTCGGTCCTCTCCTTGGTTCACAAACATGGTGGAAGGCCTGGCATCTACCCACTGGGACCGGTAGGAGAAAACAGGAGTGGCCAGGTAGTAGATCCACAAACAGAATCGTGGAAATAGAAGGAGAGCAACGCATGCACACTCACAAATAGTCTACACAATATATATATATATATATCAACAGATATTTTTTGTGGGGAGCTAGCATATATATATATATTATATATCTGTTTATACACTGTATATAAGGTGAGATTTGGTGGGCACGAACCCTGCAACCTTCTGGTGTATCCTCTTCCCTCTCCCCGATCTCCCTGTCTTTTTCCAATCAAAAGGACCGAAGGGACCAGAGTCCGTCCCCACTTTCTCCCAAGAGGCCACCCCACACAAGCCTGTTCGTCCCGGTTCCACTGGGGCGTGGCACTTCGTTGCCTTTGGAATGGTCTAGCATGAAGATGTGTGTGTGTGTCCACCTCTGTAAC